TTGTTTTGCTCCCCACCAATTATTTTGGATGTCCCAAATGACATCACCTGCATTTTTCCTGCTGTGAAGCTCTATATATGAAGATCCTGGGTCCCATTGATCTTCAGAAGACAGGGACATTGGCTGGAGAGAGAGCTTGGTCAGGTAAGAGCAAACTTATTCCTCAAAAAGTGTGCTCCTTGCTTCTGCCTCTGCAAACCCTCAGTGTTCCTTTGGGAGTGTTGGCCTTTTATTCTTGCCTGCTGCTTGCCTGAATCCTGCTCTCAGAAGTAAATGGTGCCTTTCAGTGCAAGTTCCTCCAGAAGAGATGTGCGTGTTCATTGGATTTGTAGTCCTTGCAGAAGAAAGGGTATTTCAGGGTTTTCATAAACAATTATCACTTCAATTATCTTTGGTATAACTCGATTATCTGCCATAGATTTCTAGCTAAGGTGAATTAGACCTCTCACACTTGTTTTGATCCCTTTTTGATGAGTTATTTACATTTAAATAGATTTGGAGCAATGAAGTTCATTTTGGTTCTTTAAAAAAAGAAAAATAAGCTACTTCAAGTTGTAGGTACCACAGAAATATTTCAATGACATTGAAATGTTAAAGTTTACTTTCTCTTTCTTACAATTCCATCAGGTGTTTCCACGCAGAGGGAAGTCTCAGAATCTGATGTTTGTGCAGAAATCATGACATTCTCCCTGGAGGTTCTCTCCTTGCTCGATACATTTCGTGTATTTATACTCTGTAGATGCTGTTGTTTTTCTTCTAGAGACAATCATGTTGTCAGAAATGTCTTGTTTCCCCCTTCTGTGGCATGCAGGATGTGTTTCGTGGAGAAATCCCCATCCGGGATGGATGAGTCCCAGATCACACAGCTCAGTCACACCATTGCTCCCCAGCACTGGGGGGTCACAGCAGGAGCATCCCAACCACCCTTTGCTCTCCCCTTGGCTGCTCTGGCCATCGGTCTTTGGAGTGACTGGTGCTGACACTCCGGTTCCTCCTGCAGGAAAGAGCCACCAGGAGAGTCACTGTCCATCATCACCATGTGATGAGGAGGCAGGAGAGATGCCAGCAGCATCCTCCCCGATTTTGTCTTCCCTGACAGGAGTTCCTTCTTTCTCCCTCCCTCCTTTCTCCTCCCTCCCTTCTCTTTCCTCCCTCCATGGGCTGGAGCTCGCTCTCCCAGCACTGCACTAATGGCAATCACTTCCCACAGCTATCAGGACCGAAGATGTCGGTGTTGTGGACTGTTGTCCTGCTCAACAGTCTGCTGATCCCTTCACAAGGATTTATAATCCCATTATCAGTTGCCAGACCAGATACGAATGGTAAGTGTATGTAAGAGACAGGATTTATCCTTCTTTTGAGGCCAGTTCTGCTTTTTTTGTCTCTTAATCATACTCAGAAAATCAGAAGCTGGTGCAGATCTGCCCAGCAGCAGCGACAATGCAAGTAATTTGCATTTACAAAGCAGTTTGGAGATGGCACTTCAGTTACTTTACAGAGGCTGGTGCCACCACATCTTTTGTATGAAGAGGGAGAGGGGAGGGAAGAGCCAGGCTGGCACACCTTGTGTAGCTCACAGTGACCTCTGATTCTGTTCTTCAGGTTTTAAAGGTTCACCAGCCCAAGATGTTCCCCAGAGAGCTTCAAGTGGTCTCCTTGGTGGCAATCTGCTTGGTGGTCTCCTTGGGCAAAAAGGACTTGTTGGAGGTCTCCTTGGTGAAAA